CTCTAAGTCTTCCTATTAACATGACCAAGTTGCGAAAACAAGGTCAAACAACTTCTTTACGACGAAAGGAGACTGCGTCCACACGAAAGGTCACACCTTCTTGGTCTTCATACCTTAGATTTATTAATATCGGAAAAAAGAACAAAATGTGAAAAGAAGAGATATGACCTGTCATGTGATTTATGGGTTGTCCGAAGTATATACGAAGATAAGTTGTGTTTCAAGCAATCTCTTGTTTCGAGTGAAAATGATTGGTGAAGAGATTCGAAGGCCGATCCCACCAGAAGACGACGGCGGATTCGTCTCGACCAAATTCTTATTGACGCTGGTTCCGAGGTAATCTCCCTCGATTGCGTTGGAAATATGCCAAACTTTCGTTCCTCCTGTGATGAACATCCTCGGAGCAGGGTTTCATACTTACAACAATATTCAAGCTCACCAAAATCGAGACTGATTACCTCAGAAACAGTGTCTACAAGAACAATAGACATCAGATAAGGAGGAATCGGCCATCGTCTTCTGATGGGATCGACATGCCAATCTTCACTCTAAATTGAACTAAAATCAACAAAAATAAAGAAGATATGAATACCAATATGTTGTGGCCTCTGGTGTGGTCGCAGTCTCCATTCGATTGATAGAAGTGGGTTGACCTCGTTGTCGCAACTTGGTCTTGTTGCCAGGGAGACTAAATAGAACGCACCCAGTCCGAAGTCGTCTGCCAGCATCAGACAGTGGACTTGGTACATTCTCAAACGTTTCGCCGGCGAATGTCAAAACTCACTGAGGATGCCGACTATCATGCCGGCAAAACGTTTGAGAATGTACCAAGTCCACTGTCTGACGCTGGCAGACGACTTCGGACTGGGTGCGTTCTACTAAGTCGCCCTAGCAACAGGACCAAGTTTCGACAACAAGGTCAACCCATTTCTAAAAATAAAGAAGACTTAACTGATATCTTGGAAACCCTGACAACCAGATATATGGTATGCGAGGCTACAGATGAATAACTTTGAACATCTGCTCCAACGTACCAGAAAAGTCATCAGTGCTTGACTGAGTCCAGATCGAAAGCTGCTCACTTATGATACGACTGTCATTGTCGTCGGGATAACTACGTGGAATGAAGTTGAAGCTTTTTGGTACGCAGGTCTGAATTGGGATCAATCACGTCAAGAGGAATTTTGGTCATCTGCTTGTGGGAAAGTCAACATTCAATCGTTCCATTCCGTCAAGTAATCCAAGACGATTCAACCAATTTGACCAAAGACTGATGATCGCCACTAAATAACGAATCGGCTTTCCTTGCGATATCATGTTTATTCACGCCTCCATGACAAAATGGATTGATGCCAAAGTTCTCAAGAAAAAGCGCTCGTCACGCTTCGTCAGAAGCTTCACAATTTGGCGAGCAACTTGATCTCTCTTCTATCGGCAGACGTGAGACGACCCAAATACAATGCATTTTTTCGGTTTAAGACACTGATTGTTGCCCAGCTGATGAGCCCAGATGCAAGTTGAAGATCGGAAGTAAGCAAGCTGGCCAACCTCATTTTTGAGATATCCGACCCTCGAAGGTTGTCCAGCAGAGGCAAGTCGTCTCTGTACCTCATTCTAGGATACCCTTTGCACCGCATCGATGACACATTGTCCACTTCAAGCAATAGCCCAGAAAGAGTTTGCCCGCAATCTATCCACAACAAGTGGACAAGAACTACTTGAAAGTCATGTCTTTGCATTCCGCTCATTTCCTGGGGCAAGAGGATCAAATGATGAAGAATCTGGCTGGTTCATGATTAGGTCCGAAATATATACATAAATAAATAAATAAATATATATAGTAGCTGCAACAATATTATCATCATAATCATTCGCATATTCATTTACATCTTAATCAAACATATATTTATTTATTTATTTATTTATACCAATCTATCTATCTAATAACTATTTACTTAATTTTGTTGATATACTCCAGTGATACACTCTTAAAGCAGGTTTTCTGAGATAGTAACATTCATAATTGTTGGAAAATTCTACTGCCAGTCCTTCATCGCCTTAAACGAAATAGGGTGAATGCATCTCATACTACTGATTTACTGGTAGTCTCGAAACTCTACTAAAATAGGAAAATAAGGAAAGGTTAGACAGTTTCCCACTTTCAGTTAGCTAACGTTAACGGATCATTAGGTTAACAATCGAAATTAAAGAGAGTAAGTCCTTAACATTTTTGGAGATTCTGATTATTAATGTAGAGATTAGGCTAAGAAAAGTTGTTTATATGAAGCCGATGCATGCTAGCACTTTTCCTAATTTTTATTCCAATCATAGTTACAAAACTAAGTTTGGAATTTTAAAGTCAATGAACATGAGGACTATGGGAATAGAGGATAGCAATCATTTGATTGAAAATTTTAAAAGTTTGAAAGATTTATTTCTTGAAAATAATTTTCTTTTAGGCCTCAATGAGAATAATATCTCTTTACTGAAGAATAAATTTTCAAACAGAGATTATTTAGTCAATGCTAGACAAACTGAGACCTTATCTCAAGTCCTCATTCTGCCGTCATACCTTGCCTACAAAAAGATAGGCGAAATAGCATAAATAAATAAATGGATGAAGAAATTGATATTTCTTTTATTATTCAATAGTAAACAGTGGTAGTCTTTGAATCCACTTTGGATTCGTTTATCAAATAATTGAGATCATCCTTAACCTTTTCGGATGTTCTGATCATTGAAGAAGAGGGTAGGTTATGAAGAGTTGTATATAGAAAGCCAACATATGTTGAATAATTTCATAATTTTCTCTACAGCCATAGTTATAAAACTAAGGTTGGAATTTTAAGGTCAACAATTTTAATGAGTACGAGGCTAGTGGACAGTACATTTATTTTTGGAAATGAATTATCATTTGAGCTTAATTAAGAATAATATCTCTTTACTGAAGAATACATTTTTAGACAGCTAGTATTTAATATGATATATATTCACCCAATTTCGCTTAAGGTGATGAAGGACTGGTAGTAGAATATTCCAACAATGATATTAGTAGAGTAACTTGCTCTCTCTTCTATCGGCAGACGTGAAACGACGCAAACATAACGCATTTTATCGGTTTTAGACACTGACTGTTGCCCAACTGATCAGCCCAGATGCAAGCTTAAGATGGGATGTAAGCGAGCTGGCCAACCACACTTTTGAGATATCCGACCCTCGAAGGTTGTCCAGCAGAGGCAAGTCGTCTCTGTACCTCATTCTAGGATACCCTTTGCACCGCATCGATGACACATTGTCCACTTCAAGCAATAGCCCAGAAAGAGTTTGCCCGCAATCTATCCACAACAAGTGGACAAGAACTACTTGAAAGTCATGTCTTTGCATTCCGCTCATTTCCTGGGGCAAGAGGATCAAATGATGAAGAATCTGGCTGGTTCATGATTAGGTCCGAAATATATACATAAATAAATAAATATATATATATAGTAGCTGCAACAATATTATCATCATAATCATTCGCATAATTATTTACATCTTAATCAAACATATATTTATTTATTTATTTATTTATACCAATCTATCTAGCTAATAACTTTTTACTTAATTTTGTTGATATACTCCAGACATACACTATTTAGGCAGGTTTTCTGAGGTAGTAACATTCATAATTGTTGGAAAATTCTACTGCCAATCCTTCATCGCCTTAAACGAAATGGGGTGAATGCATCTCATACTACTGATTTACTGGTAGTCTCGAAACTCTACTAAAATAGGAAAATAATGAAAGGTTAGACAGTTTCCCACTTTCACTTAGCTAACGTTAACGGAATATTTGGTTGACAATCGAAATGGAAGAGAGTAAGTCCTTAACATTTTTGGAGATTCTGATTATTATTATAGTAGAGATTAGGCTAAGAAAAGTTGTTTATATGAAGAAGATGCATGCTAGCTCTCTTCCTAATTTTCATTC